AGTCTACAGTGTGGCAGAAGTGCAGGCAATCTAGACTAAAGACATTCATTTTTCTATTCCATATATTCTTTTCCCACCCTCCCGCCCCCCTTTCTTTTCTAAAATAGGTTCATATCATTGTATATTGTGTAGTTTTAATGGATAGCATAATGATTTTGTTGGTTCTTTCCTTAATTGTCGTTTAGTTAGGTATGGTCTGAGCTGCTGGCTTACAGTTACTCGCTTTCTTCTTATAGGAACTCATGAAGTTTTTTGTGTTAGGCTCTTCTCAAAAGATTATTATTATTGTTATTGTAATTTAGCGATTATTATTATTAAGCCTTATTTTCATTTGTAGGAATTTTTGGTTTGTGTTTTTTATATATATATATTTTTTGGGTCACAGGGTTGTGGTCATGGTTTTGTCCACCGTATAATATAAAAAAAGGAAGAGAAAAATACAGTGGTTCTTTTCCTGGGGGGTGCTTTAGGACCCTAGCCCCCCCAAATAATGCACTAATGACCAGGGTCCTCTTCCCTTAGTGGCTCATGTTAATCTACTAGTGTGTTGGTAGTTTTGTATTGATCTAAAAATGTCTTTAAGGCCTGCACTGGCCCCTGACCTCAATGTGTTCAAGAGTGGGTGTAGGGGGGAGTGGTATGATATGGGAGCTAAACTTGCTTACAACTACTATTTTTGCCCTTAAATTGTATCTTCTTTAGCTGATAAACAATAGGGAGTACATTTTTTCTGCATTAAAATAATCAAAACTCCAGAATTTTAACAAAAAGCTGAGTATAAAGCAATGGAGCAAACAACCACCTTCCCTCATGTGATGTCACATGTGACCACATACACATTTGCTAAATGCAGGTTGCAGAAATGAGAAAGTAAATGTGACCCGATATGAGAAAACCAGGCTATATGCTCCAAAATTGAAAAATGAGATTTACACAGTTCTTAATTAAGCATAGCTTTTACTTCCTTTTGGTCTTTGTTCCATGTCATTTGACACATATAGTGCTGAGTTATGATAAATTATGCAAAAAGAAGTCTAAACAGATGTAATTGAGTTACAGCCATTTTCATCATTATATTTTGCATTATTTACATGGTGCACAACAAAAGGAAAGGTCTGTACATTACCTCTTTTAACTTATTTATGGTCAAACTTGGTATCAAATGAAAGGAAATTCTTTATAGAATACATTTTTGATATCTTAGTTTTGATAAGGTACCACTGTCACAACTTTCAGAAGCCTTATCTCTAATTGATAATTCCCGCAGATAGCCTGGTTTTCTCATATCGCATCACAAATTATGCATTTTTATAGCACTTGTCTCCAGGAAAGGCAATTATTTTGCACCAAATGTATTTTTGCACGTCATTCCACACAATAGTGAAAATATTTTTGATTTTTAAACACAACCCAATTTTTCTTGTTGGTTGCCCTTAAAATCATATACCCTTTAGTCTGCTTTATTCTCTAAAAAAGCACTGATTTGACATGCACACATTTGAAGTGGCTGTCTATATTAATTGGAGTTATCAGTTGTTTAAAGTACATGCACGAACAAAATATTTTACGTAACAATATATAAGTACTGCTGTGATCATTGATTTTGGTCAAGCTTGCTTTAAAAAAGATGGCAAATCATGTAACCTTTTACAGTAACAAAACAACAAAATAAAATCAAGCATCCACACATGTCTTGCTCTCAGAGGTGATCCTTGTACTGAAAACAAATCAACTGATATATACTCCTTGGGATGCATTATATCACATATGGCAGAAAAAGTTCTTCCTTTGCCATCTTTAATAAAATGTGAAAAGAATGCATGGAATATCATCACCTGAATAGACCAAAGTCTAATGACTTATTTACTTTTATACCTAAATTATGTGAGTAATAATAATTATCTTAATTAATGTTTCGATTTAATCAATTATTATTATTATTGTATAATTTAGTGTTTCCATTTTTGGTCAAACAATTTGCAAAAAGAACATAGTCTAATTCCAGCTAATTAGCCTCATACTATGGTACACTATGCACTTCATATACTCTTACCATGGTGCCAAAATGTCCTGTTAAATAATATTATGAATTTCATTAGTTATTTAGCTTACTTATTGTATTATTAATGAAGTGAGGAGTAACAGAAAGGGAGAGTTCATATACATCAATATGCAGCTAACCCATACATAGTAACAAACTATAATAATTGTTCAATTTGTATTGCACTACAAATGCTGGCTATATTATACATCTTTATGCAACACGAAAATGTTATCATTAAGTAGTGCATATACAGCTCTTAACCTGCATGCTGATACATGACTGAGACTGACTTTCACTTGTGTTGGCCAGAGCAGTGGATTGAGCATATATTGTTATTGAACTACTTGTGAATGGTCATTCATTGAGTGATTGTGTCACTTTCACTTGTGTTGGCCCAAGCAGTGCATAGAGCATAAGTTGCTTTTGAACTAGTTGTAAATGGTCATAATAATTGGGTGATTGTTTCACATTTTTATCTTGTGTTCACCTGAACAGTGGACTGAACTTACTTTGCTTTCTGAACTACTTGTGAATGGTCAAACCAATGAAGTGATATAGTACAGTGAGGAAGCCTATCTACTTGCACTTTCACAGTTACACTTACAAGGTAGTAGTTGTACTTACTTGCATGTGGTAATTTTTAAATTAGTAAGAAATATCACAAGGGAGGATAAACTAGAATTTAAATGTCTCCTTAATGGTTTGGATATTGTATATTAATCTTGTGCCCACAGGAGATGGTATGTCATTAATGTTTTTTTACCATATGGCTTCTTTTTATTTCTTCTCAGTGTGAGTTGTTTTGGTACAACTAGTGTTGTTATTTGCTTATGTTGAATTATGATCGTCTATATTATGCTATCTTGATGACTTTATTTGTTGTAGATATTCTTTTGATCAGAGTGCCATGCTGCAAATTAAGCACGCTCTTATTAATGGTTAACGTTTAGAAATATGACCCATCGTGCTTTGTAAGTGCTTTGTAAGATACATATTGATGTCATGTACCACCTGACTAAATTTGCAGTTAAAATCTAGCTAATTTTTTAAATTTAAGTTTGTTATAATATCAATTAAAGTCAATAGGAAGAGATTTAATGATGATGTAACTAATGAGAATATTTACTTAAATAAATGGCAGAGAATTTAGAAATGTAAGTGCTTGATTGTAGTTGGTGTTCCTATAAGAACTTCCTCTGTCAAATTATTAGGAAATGAAATAGTACATTGCCCATGTATTGAAAGAGACAATCTTTTGAAGAGGAATAAATGAATATGATAAATTGGTCTCAAATTCAGGTTGACACACAGTAGCACAAGAACTTTAGTCAAAATTTTGATGCTTCTTAAACCAATGGACAAATGCAAATATGTGATCATCGCCACCCAAATTGTGCTTCAAAAAAATTGAGTCTCACCAAATGACAGTGATTGGTATCTATCTTCCTGGGATAATATGGCAGTACAACTTGGCCAGAATGCCAACATAACAATGTAACAATGTTACTGTCTCCCTGAACTAAAGTAAAATCATATGCTTCTTCATGAAAAGAGGATCATGGAGACTGTTTTGCTAATCGTTGCAATGCATTCAGTGCAGTACTAGGATCAGGGCCGTTGACAGGGGGGGTAGCTGGTACAAAAAACCAGGGCCCCCTAAGAAAGAGCAGAGGGCAGGGGCCCCATATCCTGTACACAATTACTTTGTTAGCTACTTATAAACATCTACAAGAAAAGAAACTGAATATACTGGACTCTGTTAAGTGATTTCTTCATTTCTTAAGCTCAGTTTTATCCTTGTCTCACAGTGTCCATTTTATTAATAGATAATAACTTAACTTTAATAATAATTACGTTTAAATAATAATAAACACGTCAATTATGGCTCTAAGAAAGTACCCTTCTGGATATGCAAAGTGCCTGATGACGCAAAAGAGAGATGAAGAAGCTAAAGGAAAAAGAACCATTGATAGTTTCATTGGGTGGTCTACATTTCAACAAAACGACCCAATCCAACAAGATCTTGAAAGTCACCATAGTGCTGAAACGGAGTCTGCAGCTGCTTCACATCACACTCCTGATCTAGCAGTAAACAGTGATCCTGAAATTTGTGAGTCTTCTCATGATGAATCAATTGCTGGATATTTAGGCGATGATCAAGAACATTTAGAACTTGAAGAGAATTATGAAGCCTTTGAGGGTGTCAAAATGAGTTTGACCTTGGAATTCTATCTGAGTTTGATACCATTTCTAGCAGTGATGTCGACCAAGCTGTCAAATGTGGCCCACCTAGACATCCACTATCATTTCCAAAAGATAATGATGCTACTAAATTTCCTCGATATGTTTTAACTTATAAAGCACAAAATGGTGAGGTTAAACCTAGAGATTGGCTTGTTTGGAGCCATGAAAAGGAAGGATTATTCTGCTTCCCTTGTCATCTGTTTGGATCTGGTCAGTCAAAATCTATACTGACCCCAAAGGTGGCTGGTCAAAAAGCAAAGGATGGAAGAAGCTTTATAATCGAATACCGGAGCATCAAGCTAGTGCTGCTCATTCTGCTTGTTACGTGAAATGGCGTATGCTGCAGTTCAACCATTCACAAGCAGCGGGTGTTGATGATCAATTGCAGTCTAATATATTGTCAAATATTGCTACATGGACTGCTATTTTACAAAGAATTTTACATGTTGTGATGTTCTTAGCTCAGAGAGCATTGCCTTTTCGAGGGGATTCTGATCTCGTAGGTCACAGCAACAATGGAAATTTCTTAGGAATAATTGAGTTACTGGCTATTTATGATCCAATTCTTTCTGATCACGTTTCAAAAGTTCAAACAAGTCAAGAATCAAAAAAAAGATTACAAGTTCACAACCTTTCCCCTTCATCGCAAAATGAATTTATAGCAGCTTGCTCATCACAAGTTCTCAAAAAAATTTTACAGCAAGTTCATAAAATGAAGTACTATTCAATACAAGTAGATGCCACACCAGACAGCTCTCATATGGAGCAGACTACATTTATATTGCGCTATGTTTTGGAAACAACTACTCAGGAACAAAGAGTTGTTTATGAAGTAATCGAACGCTTTGTGACATTTATTTCTCTATCAAAAAAAACTGGATCAGATATTACTTCACTTGTCCTCGATCAATTGAGGGTAAACGAAACCTGCAATAATTGACATTTTTATGGCAATTTTAGGTGTGGGAATTACCATTAAACAATTGCCGTGGACAGTGCTATGATAATGGTGCTAATATGGCTGGTAAATACAAAGGTGTTCAAGCTCAAATACTAGAGTTAAACAAATATGCATTGTTCACACCATGTGCAGCCCATTCATTGAACTTGGTAGGAGCAAATGCAGCTGAGTGTTGTCCAACAGTTACAACATTTTTTGGTACAGTACAAAAGCTATACACCTTTATGAGTGGTAGCCCCCAGCGTTGGGAAATATTGCTTGAGTGTATACCCTGTTCATTGCATGGTCAGTCTCACACACGCTGGTCAGAAAGAATTGATGCTGTACGACAAGTTGCTGCCCATTTGCCGGGTATCTTACAAGCAATAGAAAGTGTCTCTAAGCTTAATTTGTCACCAGAAGCAAAAGTCACAGTGGATGGCTTGCATGACTACTTCAATTCTTTTCTGTAATTATGTCAGCAATATGGATCAAGGTTCTCTTAGCTATAGACAGACGAAACAAGGTTTTACAAGCAAGGAAAGCAACTATTGATGTTGAAGTTAAAAATCTTGATAGCCTTATAGATGATTTGAAGTTAATCAGAAATAGTTGGAGAGATATATTCACAGAAGCGAAGCAAGTAGCGGAATCAATGAATGTTAGCCCTTCTTTTCCAGAGAAAAGGAGATGAAAGAGAAGATTTTTTGATGAGCCTGATAATGAATCAGAAAAAACAGTCCCACAGCATTCTACATCTAGTGGCAAAACACCAGAGGAAATAGAGTTTCGTCAGACTGTTTTTTACAATTTGATTGATAATGTAATCTCCAATGTCTGAGCGATTTACGGCAGCGAGAGACATTAACAACCTTTTTTCATTCTTATGGAGTTATCCCCATATTGATAGTACAGAGCTCAAAAGTTCCGCTGAAAAGTTCGTATCTTTCTATAATACTGATGTTTCAGAAGAACTTGTTGAAGAGTGTCTACTTTTAAAAAGTGTTCATAGTGCTAATTTTTCTGAGCCATTGTACAGTCCTCTCAATTTACTTAACAAGATTCATTAGCTGAAACTTAAGAATCTTCTTCCTAATATATGCATTTCTTTACGCATTTTTTGTACCCTATCTGTCAGTGTAGCAGAGGCTGAAAGGTCATTTAGCAAGCTTAACATAGTTAAGAACTATCTTCGGTCAACAATCGCTCAAGACCGTTTGCAGAACTTAGCTCTACTAAGCATTGAAAATGACCTTGCCAGGACAGAGAATTATAAAGATGTAATTAGACATTTTGCAAGCATTAAAGCCAGGAGAGTTCCTTTTGACTAAAACCATACAAACATTATTATTGCGATCTTATTAATAAAGCTAATTAATAAACCATTTATTAATAACTACTGGAAGCCACGCCCCTAATTAATATGCGCCAAATTTTAGACGCGCTTCGCGCACCACACATTCTTTCCTCTCATCCTTTGTACCAGGGCCCCCAGAACCGTATCAACAACCCTGACTAGGATACAACAGCTCATGAGCATTTTGCAGGTATTTAATCATAATTCCATCTAAAACAAACTGTTAGACTGGTGGCAGTAACTTCACATGACTTGATACTTTAACGTCAATTTCTTGACTAAAGATGGGAGTTGAATTATGAACGAAGTCTAGCATTTCTTCTCTAGACATTGTTGTAAGAATTCCAACTGATTTTGGTGACAAATGCATTTTAAGAATACTCTTTATAGCTTGTCCATCTGGTGGAAAACTTTGACTGTATAGCTCCTTCAGGATCAGACATTTCTTCATTACTTGTTGTTCTATATTTTTTGGTTAGCGGGGAAGCTGTCTAGCATGTCATTCTATCTTTCGAATGCATAGCACCAGAAAGCATAAAGTGGTCCATTGTCTTGTAGACAATTTTTGAGATGCATATGCACATGAGTGCAAGCAGCATTGCCATTAACAGCTTCAAATCTAAAGCAGAACATGGTCAAATATTGATCAGCCAAGTCCATGTTGCTTTGCTTGAGATAATGTGCACACAGCAACTTTGTAGCCTTTACATAAAGGAGCCAGTACTGTAGGTTGTTGGCAGCACCCTGCTCAATGAAGTACGTGAGTAACAAATTGCCCAGTTGTGCTACTAATCAGCTGAACAGCCCAAAAAACCACTAAAAATTTTCAGAGGTATTCTTCCAACCATGTGGGGAGCAAGAAAATGTGACATACACTGCTCCATTAATTCTATATCTTGTTTTGATAATGTTAGTTCTAGGCCAGTACTCCATGCAATATTTTGCTGTACCAAAGAACATGGGATCTATTACAGTATTAGCTCAATTAACACAGTATATATCAATCAAAAAGTCTTCGCAATAGTCTTCTGACTTAATTTCGTAGCAGCACAATGGTATTCTACACACTTATTTTTTTGAGTTTCCAGATGTCTCAAAGGCCATTCAGATCTATTAAAACCAGAATAATTAGGTTTCTCTTCAAAGGTTTCTACAGGAAAGCATTTCAAACATTTATTGCAGCCATCTATAGAATAAAAATATGTAAAACCACAAACTTTCCTAAATGCTGGCATGTCAAAATACGCCCACCAATACCAGTGACCATTAATAAAAGTACAAAATGCTGAGATATAAGGCATAATAACACCATCATTGTACTGCTTTAACTCCAAGACCAAGGGAGTCAGATATAAACTGACAGTTAAGCTAGGCTCATGAGGTCCAGGGATAATACAAACTAATACCATATTTTCATGCTTGTTATGTTCTTTTCGTGGAAGGTTTAGAATATAGCTCCCACAGACTCAGACATGAGTGAATGGCTAAAACCAATGCAAGGAGCCAGCTATGGGGCTCTGAAAAAAAGATTGAAAATTATGCCACTCTTGACCATTATATACATCTCCTATAATGTCATTTAAAGATGACCTTTTCCTTTAAAGTTCACATGATTCAAGAAAACCTTGATGCGTTTAAAGTCTAGCAATTGCAGTTTGTAAACATTGGTACAAACATACCTTGTATGGTTTAAAATTTATCAGTGATTCTTAATAGTTCTCAATAGAAAAGTGTTACATTTCTGATGGTAAGTTGGTCTTGGATGGTTAGGGAATTGAACATTCTGGCATTTGAGACTAATTTTACTGCTTTCTCGTTTACTTAAAGACCCCTTTTTAACTCACTCGTGCGTCATGCCACCCACACCTATTTTAATTAAAAGCATAAGCATATAAAATATTATGGGCTCATTATATAAGCTTGGTTGTCACGGTAGAAAAACAAGACTCACCAAAGAATTAAGGCCTTCCACACGCCGTCGGAGCTGCAACTGACTGGAAAATGTGTTTTCTGTCTAAGAGTCATGATTTTTCTGTGTTACCTATTTGCGTTTAAAAGAACTGGTGATCTCTTAGTCTGAGCAGTTGGCACAGACTTGCAAAATAACCTTAGCAAAGACCAAGAAAAGAATAGAGTGACCGTGCAAGCAGACTACACTCCACTGACTACAGTACAGTAGCTTTGGCAACTCTTCACATGTAATTTCAAAGTGGCATCTAAAAAAGAAAGGGGTATTATGACTTGATCTCAGTCAAGTATTGAAAGCACTTGTCTTGTCTTAGATGCAAGGTCAAAGGAATGATATAAAAGCCATCACAAGAGGCTATGTAGTTTTAATGATTTCTGTGGTGATAGAAGACGAAAGAAGAAAAAGTCTGAAGAATTTTGCAGAAGTTTGAATTTGGGCCTATTCTCCCGAATTGGTCACGCTACATTGAGGCCTTTATAAAGGTACCAGGAGAATTGCTCAGGAAAGGAGAGCCAATCTAAGCCATTTCTGAAGCTGTACAACGTAAGATGAAAGAGTGGTAAGCGTTTGAAAATTGCAAATTTTGCCACCATCTTGAAAAATTAACCTCAACCCCACATATAGGCTACCGCCCAAATAACAGATAGTGTATTGGCTAATTAAACTTTTTTCTTTCTCTCTTCCTCCCTCTAAGCTGAATTATGATCAAATTATGTAAATTAAAATAAAAGAACGTTATAAAATTAAGTTTTTATAAAAATGATGTATCAAGTATGTAGTTATACACACATGTTGTGAGAAAGAAGGGGGAAGAGACAGATTTATTGTGGTGTAACCTTAGTGACCAGAAAGGGGTGGCTATGTACAATGTACATGGACATTACATAGTAGCATAGAGTTTGCTGTTAATTATTATTTTTGGGTCTTCTCATATGCTATTTGTACCTAAACATACCGGCAGGTACTATTATTTAGCAAGTGGGTTTATTCATTTACTGCATTAGGCACAAAATAAATAAGGGCTTATTGTAGCTGATGGCTCAAATTTTTATAACAAATTTGTAAAGCTTACCTTGTATAGATCTTGAATCCTTTGCAAAAAATATAAAATTAGCTGCCATGGCATATAGCCAAGCTAAACGTATCTTCGCTATATATACCAACCTATATTCTTTGAACAATCAATATAAGAATGTATATACATTTACATATATACAAAAAATTTCATATACTACTCAAGTTAACATTTTTAATCAACTTTAGCATTAAGCTAAGGCTAATGGCACAGCTCAATATCTCTAAACATTTCAAACGAAAACAATTGCTTGCAGTAACTCACTGTATGTAGTATGATTAGCATAGCAAAACCTCCTACATTTCTGCAGTGAAAATAATGTAATGTAGCCTTTTATACAGGCTGCATTAAAAATGGAGCCCTGCAGCTGACATCTTTTTATTTAATTCATAAGCAAGTATGGTGGCTTTTTGCATAAAACTGTAAAACTATAGCACATACATCGATACCTTGACAACCAATGGTACATGTACATCTGCATCTAAATGTAGCTTAACTAAATTGATTTGGATGTATAATTTGCTATATTTGCTTGCATTCCTATAGAAAGATACCGTATAGCCAAAAATTTGGCGGTCTAAACTTTAGCAGTTTTTCATTAAAACTGTCTAAATATAATATTGGTGGTCATTTAATTTGGCGGTTGACTATCTTGTCTTTTCTTTAAGCACACATAGCTCTTGTACAAGCTGCTCCATGGCTGTCCTTGCCCATAGTCTTCACTTTGTGACTGAAATAGTGAGAAATACGGCCATTTTTAGTATAATCAACCCGCCCATAAAATTGCAATTATTTTTGGCGGTTATTTTATTGGCGGTTTTATTTTGAACCGCCAATCCACCAAACTTAATTCTCCGCCTAATTTCCCGGCTATACGGTACAATAGTTACAGATTCTGTGAAGTGCATATTTTTGTGTTTTAATGTATAGTATACATGTATATCTATAGTCAGTTAGCCACCTCTCCCGCGTCACATAGCCTAGATAGATATAGCATTCCTTATTATAGTACATGCTCTCTCTCTGTTTTATGCGTCTTCTTTGATGTTTCAACTATGCATGTACATTTCTA